GCAGATGCAGCAGCCTTGCTGGAAATCCAGTGGGGAAAGAGGTTGTAAGGACCTGTGCAGGCAACAGGCAGGATGCTATGGAAGACAGGAGGGAGAAAATGACCCTTTCCACAGGTACTGCTGAGTCCTCTGCCCAGAATGTTCATCTGGTCACCAGGCTGCTGGGAAAGAAGAGACAAACTTTTTGTGACCTGAAAAAAGACCTACAAACCCACAGAGATTTGGGCTACCAGAACAGGAGGGATTACCAGAGAGTGCTGTAGCATTGGGCTGAAGTTCATTTTTGGGATCTAAGTAGGTTTTTAGGTTGTCTCCTAAATTACTTGCATGCAAAGTCAAAGGAAACATCAAAGGCAGGAACTGGAACCCGGGTTTTAGTTTCACAGTTTGCTATTTTCTTCCATCCATCCTTTTTCTGTTTTCTGATGTGCTAAGTTTTCTTTTTGTGAGCAATGTATTTGGAGGAAGAACGACACTGCAGATTGATTTTCTGAGTTTCAATCAGACTCCATGATACAAGTGGCAATTCAGTAGGATAAGCTCATTCCCTTTTCACTTATTGTGGATTTCATTAAGAAGCATGAACAGGCGAAAATCCCTCTAAGCAATCATATTACCAGCCTAATTTGCTAGACTTTCATTAAAGCAATTAAAGATAGAATGATGCAATGACCCACTTCAGGACCCAATTAAGACTGAATCAATAAATCAGTAGGTTTAAATCACCACCATAAGGCCATAGATAATCAAAACAAGTTATGAGGCTGATGCTAAACAGAATTACTGTATTAAAATTGCCACAGGAGAACTTAAAGAATGAAATACTTTCCAGTTGATATCCCCAGCTCATCTTATTAGAACCAACTTCATAGTGATGGGCACAGCCCGATACAGATACATCTGCCTTCTGGTGAGCACTGCTTGGGTGCACAGCAAAATAGCCCTCCAAGGCCATGTGCTAGCTGTATGTAGCCCTGGACATGGTGACTTCCAAGCACAAGTGTCAGGACCTTGCCCATCTCTTCAGCCACATTTGGAGCTAAATCATCTCACTGTCTGTCACCACCTTATTTGCACAGGTAAGTAAAGCCCTCCAGTGTCCTGCTAATAGATCCTTCTTAACCCCAGCTTGAAGGTGTTTGTCTTTTTTCCAGTGGAATTACTGAACATTTGGATCTGTCCATAGCTTTAATGTGAACCATTGGTAAACTCAAACATGTGGCACCTGATGCATAATGTGACTTCTCTACCCCAAATGATGCTCTAGCAGTGTTGTGGCAAGTTGTCCTTGAGGAAAGCATGTAGACTGCTGACTTTATCAATACATATTTGCACAGATGGTCATTTTCTCCACAGAAAAAAAGAAGGAAAACAGAGGGTGAAGGTTTAAAGGAAAATCTGAATTCCTCTTTTGTTGCCTGGGATGTTTAATTAACCTGGATTTAACTATTTGGGTTTATTAGCAAAGGCTTGGTAAATGTTGCCCTGGACTGGTGAAGCCCACAACCAGAGAGTAAGTTGATTCAGCAGTGGACTCTGGTGTTGACATGTTTGGTGGCAGTAAAGTTAAACACTGTCTTAAGAAATCAGTCCTAGCCTGATCATAGCTGAATTCCTTCTCTAAATATTGTGACCAGAAAGTACCTGAAAGATTGTCCTCTTTCTTCTTTCCATGCTTGAAATACATGATAAAATCCTACTGTTTTGAGTACTGAAAGACATAGTAGCCTAGTCCCAAATCTTCAGTTTATGCCATGTTACCCCTATGCTTTGGTCTGACAGAGATATTATAATAGTATAATCTAGTATAATATATACTGTACTGGTAAATGGCATTGTATGGTATTACATATATTACAACTGTAGTATGTGTCCATCGCATACCTATGTTCTATCTGTTGAGAACAGGAGTTCATCCATCAACTCCCATCACCAAAGTTACACTTTCCATCCCAGTATCTGATCCACCGCAGCTCAGCACAGCACTTAAAATCCCTGATCCACCGTGGGGAAAAACTGTGCCACCAAAGTTAACCATGATAGACCCATACTGACCTTCACTTAAGTGCTATGCTGAGCTGTGGTTGATCAGAGACTGGGAGAGAAAGTTACACTTCAGATGCTACTTTGAGCTCTGCTACAACTGTGATCTGTGACTTTCCAGTATGGAGGGTACCTGCCTAGCTGGCATCTAGCAGAAAGTGTGTGTTTGAAATGTATTACGCATTTCTGGTCACTGCTAGACTGCAAGCTGAGGCATGGATGTGAACATAGCTCTTCCTTCTGCCCTAAAGGAAGAAAATGAAAAACATACAAAAGCCTACATGGCGCCAAAGAAAGCATAAAGCTCGTGAGTTTGATGGGAACACCAAATTGCCTCTCAGTTCTGTTATTATGATTAGTTTCCTTAAAGAAAACACTTTCATAAAGAAGGTAAACGAACCATTAATTGACCACAACTTTATCAGAGTATTACAAGTATAAAATGAAAAAATGCAAGGATAAAAAGAAAAAAAAAGAAAGAAAAGAAAGGAAACTTTTGAATTCAGGATAAGTAAACAGAGTTTGGAAGTCAGGAATTTATTCCGATGTAATCCAGAGAGCCCAAATGCCAAACAATCTGGAAATACTCAATTGAATACTTACAGTGCTGATCCAGATGGTCCTTCTTGCCCACCCCCACAGTTATAAGAAACGGTTATCATCACAGTAATTCAGCATTGTTGAGAGGCCCCACCAAAACAGGGACTCAGATGTGCTGGGCAGGCCACATTCACAGCTGTGAAGGTGGACCTTTTCCCTGAGGGTTGTCCAGAGGTGGGAGGAGGAGTAATACAATAGGAACAGCATGTCCCCTTTGTCCCTGTGGCGGCTTACAGTGTCCTGGGATTGTGCTGGGGCAGCGCAGGTCCTTGTTCTCTCCTCATGAATTCCCCAAATGGATCCTCATAAAATCATACTTGAAAATATGGGTTTGTGGCTGCACAGATAAACTTGGGAATAGGCTTTGCTTTAAGGATGAAATTCTGTGTAGGCATAACCAGACAAACTGTAGCACTGTGTCCACTGCAAGGAAACAAGTGGTGTGCAGAATGTCTCCTCTCAGCATCACCTGGCCATGAGGGCCCTAAACCACAGGGGGTCTATCCTTGCTCAGGTTGGATGGTCTTTGAAGTTGGGCACCTGTACATGCTCTGCTTCAACAGCTGTCACTCATGCAAAGCTCTTGACTGTGAAAGAGCTGCCCATAGCCTAATGATGCCCATTGGAGCCCTGGTTCTGCTAAGGGATAGTGCCTAAGAGCAAAGGAGCTGAGAAATGAGCTTGGTATAGCATGAAGAAAGACTGAGGTATGGCATAAGCGAGAGCCTCAGTGTATACCAACACCCAGAAAACCTTCAAAATAAGGACGGTCCCCTTCCCTTCATTGCAAACACGTCTGTGGATCTTGGTGAGGTTGTAAGTGTATTTTCTGTAGCTGCATCTTGGTCTTGTCCCTTTGGCTTGTCTGTACTGACGTTTTATCTCATTTGTTGCTGAGCTCATAACAGTGAAAAAACCACAAAGATCAACTAAATACTGAACACGACATCAAGAGCCCATCTTAGAGCACCAGGATTTCAGTGCTCCTGTGGTCTTCTGCCCTGTCTCAATGGAAGCTAGGAAAAGTTTAGTGCACACTGGGTGACCACTGAGCCTACAGAGGAGCTCCTGATTGTAAAATCAGGACAAGAGAAGGTTTTTCTGGCTGAGATCTTAATTTCATAGTGAAACGTGGGATAGACCTTCAGCTACCGTAAGTCTGCAGAACTTGAGCCAAACCGGGAGAATTAGAACCAAACTGACTTACACAGGTGAGAGTATAGTCCTGAATATGAAGGGATGGTCAGAATTCAAGTTTGTGTCGTATGGGAAAAGTGTAGGGTCTTTCTACAGGATCTGCTGCTCCTCCTGACACTGCAAATCATGTGTCTGTGCCTCAGTGTCACACTCCACCTCCAACACACCCCCTGCCAGTCTTTCTGTACAGGGATGTGCTTTTCCAAAGATGTAGCTTCCCATGGATGTGTTTTTCCAGAGCAAAATGAGAGGTCATCTCTCTTCTGATACAGCCCAGCATCTAATCTTAGTTCTGTGGCCACAGTTGCATACCACAGCTCTGAAATAGGAATCAGATTGGTTCTGGTGGTTGTTTCTTCATTTACATTGTAAAAAACTATAGAAGTCATTTACCTTTTTATTGCTGTGAGTTGCCCATTATCACTGTTGCTTGTTTCAGCTCTGTTAGTGAACCAGATTCCTAAAATCACCTGGCTTTGACCTCAAGCATGGGCCCACCTCCCTGCTGTGTGCCCAACGACACTCATCTGGGTGTAGTGATTTTTCCAGCTATTTTTAAAGGGGAAGGAATTCCTGTGTGTCACTGAGTGACAGCCAGGAAAGCAGAAATGAAAGTGGGGAAAATTTAAATAAGAGGGAAACATAAAAAAGCAAGTCATAACACACTGGGAACATGTTTGAAGGAAAACAAAGCCCATGATGGAGCACACACAACAGCATTTGGAGGCCACTGCTGAATGCAAAGGGGCTTGGAAACACTAGCACAAATCCTGCCTCCTGTCATGATTCCCACCACAGGCTGTGTAAGTCACCATGACCAGCTCAAAGGCAAAGGAAGTCTCCAACAACTGCATCTCCTTTCCCTAGCCCCACACAGACACTCTTAATGCCCATGAGACAGCCACATCTCCATATGCTGACACTCAGCATCATTTCCAACAGCAGCTTTACAAAACACCTGAAGGGAAAAATCTGTTTTATCCATTTCCCCATGGAGTGAACTGGGGAGAAAAAAGTCTCACCACCCTCCTTTGGGATACGAAGGGACATTGTTGCATAAAATACAATGGAGCAATGGAGCAGCCATAGGAATGATTCACTCCCTTTCTTGCATGTGGATGGAGACTCAGGCACTCAAAAACATCAGACTTCACATCAAGGTGATTTAATTGGATTTATTAGAGGAAAACAATTACTCATCCCTTTAAATTGTCATCATGATAGAAATCTCGATATGTATACATGATTGTCAAGGCAGAGAACCACTTGCAACGTAGCCCCATTAACAATTTGCAGTATTGCAAACTCATTATGCAGATAAAACTTTTGCGATGCCTTAAAACATGCACGGAGTAAATACACATTCTCCCTTCTTTTTGGACATGGATGCTGTTATGAACTTGTATCAATCACAAGACCTGCAATATTAGGCACACTGACATTCCTTGATTAAGATTTAAGCCTTTGTAGAAAACATGCTTGCGTTTTCATTGAGTGAAACCAAGATGTTTTGCTGTTGGGGATATCTGGGGAGTCACTACTCTGGGCAGACCAGGCTTTTATTCATTGTTTGCTGACCCAAATCAAATTATCTGTCTAAAAAATGTCCAAACTGACCAAAATGCTGTTTCTTAACTAGGGGCCAGTGTACGACAGGACACTGACATTGTGTTGACCAGAAACATGTCACACTGTATCTCCTACTGAGCTACAACCTTCCACGCTCTTCATTTTGGGGGTCATGCTACAGCTTGATCTAGTAAGACATAGCATGAGTGATGCCATGCTTGCTCAGGGGATGCAGATGACAGATAGAAAAGCTCAGAGCTACTCTGAGCACACCCCTCGAAGCTCCCACCCACCCAGAACCACAGCACACATCCACCTCTTCATGGAGCCCTGCACCACGTGCTGCCTCAGCAATCTGAACTCAGGCTGACTTACAGCCATTAATAACGATGATTTTCATGCTGCCATGTAGCGCTTCTGCAATGGCACAGTATCCTGGCTGAGCACCAGCCTTGAAGGCGGGCTCAAGGCTTCTTGTTGCTTTCAGCCACCACGGAGTAGTCCTTGCATAATTCCCAAGGACTGATACTTGCTCCCTGTGACACCAGTATGATGCTTTCTCTCCAGCCCTTCTGCTTGTCATGTCCTTGCCAAGAATCTAGAGCAATTTTGCCGCCCTTTCAGATGACTCTGCTTTGCGTACTGGGAACTTGAGTATTTCCCGCACTAACACAGCAACCACTTAGGAGCTGGGACCACTGCCCTGCTGATACCCATGAGAGGGCTGGTCCAGAGCTACTACAAGTAAGTAGCATGTGGCCATCCTGTACCCTGCCTTAGGAAGACCAGCACAAATTAAAATGTGTGAATGATCAAGGAAAGAGGAGGCAAGGACATGTGGAAGAAAGAAAAATACCATATCAAACACTTCCATGGATAAATGGTGGTGCTACATGGAGGTTCAAGGATCAAATGCTATTGTCTTAGTGGTGATGCTTTGGGAAGGATGGGATAATTAGCTCAGCTCTCTGCCCTATTTTGTGCAGGCAAAGAATCGCAGCATCTTGGTCCCCAAAATGCAGTTCATTCTGCAACAGGTGAGAAAGAACTATCTTGTAGGAAGAGAAAGAATACTAAGAATTGAGTGGACCGGTCTAAATTCTGACTAAGAAAAACAAGACAAAGGAAAAAAAGAGAAAACAAAGAGACACACCAACATGCTTCTTGGTAATCCTGAGCATTAGCAGCCCAAGGAAGGAATTTTTGACGCAGATCAAGTTTTTAAGCATTATATTCAAAAAGGGAACCTCCCCTCCCCGACTCCCTGTTTCTAGACGTGTACATGACTGCTGCATAGTTTTAAGCTGCTCTGGATGGTGACTCTTCCTGTACATGCTGCAGAGCATTCAACAGAAAGACAAAATATATTACCAGGCTTTGCAGTATCTTGTTTACAAAACATCAGCTTTTGCATTTACTCAAACTTAAAGATGGATTTTGAGTTACAGATACATTGAGTCATTTAAAAGCAAAACGTAGAAGTAAACCCCTCGAAGAAAAGGTTGGGTTGAAGGTGAATAAAGAAAAGGCTTGGGAAATACAGAAACAGTGAACAGCAGTTTAATACATGCAGTGCAGTATCATGCATTTATTGGACATTTGTGTCATCATTAGTTCAGCAGTGATTTTTTTCACAATGCTTGTGAGCATACATGCCCTGATTCCACTCTGGAGCGTGGAAAAAATGTAAGAGCCACTCTTCTGACCTTATCATTTACGAAGAGGGGCTAAAAAATGGCTACCTGAACAAACCAGTGGCACAGTTCGCGGTGGGAAGGGGTCTTGAAAACCAGAGTCTGGGCTAAAGATCCTTTATCCTGCCCTATAAACTATTTACACAGCTTTGACCCAACCATGCAAAGTCAAGCCAAAAACCCTGAACCAACTCCTGATCTCCCACCGGAGGGATCTGTCATCCCTGGGGCCACAACACGCACACACACACATACATGCACACACGTGCATCACGGAGACCAAACCACCCCAGCGGACAGGATGGGAAGGCAGGACTCAGCTGCAGGGATGCAGGGTAAAATTACAGGGATTGTGTAAAACTTGCTGCTGGGCCGGAAATATGGAATGCCTGATTGACTAGGGGAAGCTGTTCATGCAGCGTTTGTGAGCAGGTTGCTGTTTCCTCACTCAGCCATTGCTGGCAGGGATCTGCCAACTAATCCTCCACGCTTGGTTTTGATGCTGTTTTCCTTGGATACCAACGTCTCTGTGTGTTTCCACTTTTTGCTTGAATGAGTGTAACACTTAGCATCAAGTTTCTGGTGCAAATAAGCATGATAATGAAGGCAAAACTCCCTTCCCATGAATAATTTCTGGGATGCATTCAGGCACCAATTCAGATGGATAAATATGCATGGGATAAAGAACGCAAATAATCCCACTGAATTCTGTACACTGACAGGAAGCTACTTCTGCACCTCAGGGCTCAGTCTAGAAACTTATTTTGCCAGTAGATGAATCCCTTGGCTCTTTGGAAAGAGCAAAAGCAGCAGGTTACAGTCTGCATGATCTTGTTGGCAAAGTCAGTCTGGTGGTTTTATGCAGTGCTCACCCAGTGCTGCTCAGGCCTGGAACTGTTACCACAGGGGGAAATAACAGCACAGGTTTCCCTATATCTGATCGAGCCAATGCCAAGTTCAGATCAAAGGACAATATTCTCACTGGCTGCCAATGGCTGGAAGCGATCTGGCTTTCCTTGGGGATTTGTTTCCCTAAAAATATGGTCACACTTAAGGAAGGGGAAGCCTGACGATCAGCTCCACTGCATTTCTAGGGCACCCTGGAGGTCCATGTTCTGGTTTGCAGAGGATTTGGGGAGAAAAGTCAGAGATCAAGGGCTGTGTTGGCTCCTGGGCCTGGGAAAAGCTTTGGACAAGCCTCAAAGTCCCTCAGGGCCAGGCAGGGGAGAAGTGGTTATAATAAGAATGCGGTCAATCACTGTGTAGGTATGGAGGACACATACACAGTGGAAACCACTAATCCCTACTGCAGAACTACGTGGAGGTGTCTACCAGTGGGCTGACACACTTTCTGTTGTTTTATTCATTTCAAGAACAAACCTCTATCACTGCTTGGTTTTATTTCAGCACCACAACCATAACAGACACACAAGGCATAGGTAAAATCCTACTTGTTTTTTTCTGTACCCACTACTCTAATGGAACCTCTACAATAGCAACCAGGACAAAAGAAACATCACCAGCAGAGTAACACAGTCTCAGGAAAGCATCACTGACAGGTTTTCCCTATACTTCTACTTCCCCACTTAGCCGTGCCATGGGGCCAATATCCATTCCATGCTGCAGAAGGGGTGATCCAGCAGAAAGTTAGGATGTACTGGGAATGAAGTCACATGCAAAATCAGCAGTAGAAGCCCCTGCCACTACAATACTGACTTTCAGCTCGCAGAGTTCACATGGGCAGCCTGTCCTCACAACTTCTTCTGCAGGCTAAGGGGCCAGCTGGAGGTTTTCTGGATTTTGGTTTGCTTGTTTGCTCTCCCAGCAAGTGCACTGCTGTTGGCATCAGAGATGGCCTCTGTGACTCTGGAGGTAAAAATCAACAATCAAAGCTGCAAGCAAAGAAAAAGAAGGGGAAGGAGCTGAGGAAAATGAGTTACAAAGGAAAAGCACATTGGTACCAGTAAAATAAAGCAGGGAAGGGTAACAGACAGGTGAGCCCAGGCTGAAGTCCTCATGTGAATCACAGAATGGTTTGGGCTGGAAAGGACCTTAAGATCATCCAGTTCCAACCCCCCTGCCATGGGCAGGAATGCCTCACACTAGACCATGGCACCCAAGCTCTGTCCAACCTGGCCTTGAACACTGCCACGGATGGAGCATTCACAACTTCCTTGGGCAACCCATTTCAGTGCCTCACCACCCTCATAGTAAAGAATTTCTTCCTTCTATGTGAGGTGTAAATCACACACTGTTTAGTAGGATGGTCCATTGGGAAAGAGCCCAGAGGGATTTTTCTACCTACACCTTCATGACAAGGCCAGCTGGGGATTTGATTTAAATCTTCTCCTTTGGGTCTCTTAGCCCCTTCTCCACATGCACACATTACTGACTTCTGGCTTAGCATTTGTGTGTGAGAGTGGCTGAGCAGAGGTGGACTGGAGCAGGGGAAGGACACGCAAAGGCACTGGAGCATCCCTGGCAAGCAATGCTGGAGTTTTTGTTCTGCCCCCTCCATAAATCGGGCCTGGGTGCACTTAACAGATTTACCCAGACTTAAACTAAGAAATTTTAACCAAGAGATACTTCAGGACTCAGTGGAGAGATCTCTAAGCATTTGGTGAACTCCAGTGAGGATTCCAGCTGTGTTTCACTGATATAAAAGCAGAGCTTCCCAGCACCCAAACTGTAGCAGAAAGAACTAATTTTGCTTTTAAGTGCTTCTGTTTCTTGTGTTAAGATCCCAGCAGTTGATATTAAGCCAAAGAGAATGACGATAAATTACACAACTAAGGCAGAATATTACTTGCAGGAGGGAAGAGAAATCACTCTAATTCCAAGTGTGGAAGGAAAGAATACCCTCCTAATAAAAACCAAGGGAAGCATCCAGCAAGGAGAGGCAGCATAGCATACGGGAACAAGCCCTCCGCATCTGCAGGACAGCATGTCTGCCTTTGCTTCCATCACTGCTCTTTGTTTTGCAGATGGAAATCCATTTGCTTTCCTTTTTTCCTGCAAGATACATTTGGAGGCTGTATTTTGATTAGAGGCCTCAGCAACTACGTCAAGTTCAAACCAGACCTCAGGTTTCAGAAGAGAAAGCAAAGAGGAAACGCTTGAACCTGAATCTTTAAAACCATTCTAAAATGACAAATTATTGCCTAACCAAATCCTGGTTTTGGTTGCACATGTGTAAACATGGGGAACTCCACTGATGCTAAACTGGGAGACTGCCTAATCACATCCCTGCAACTGGAGCAGAATAGGGCCAGCCGGGCTTACAAAATCATGGGGTTTCAAAATAACTTCAATTTCTTGGGAGAGGAGACTCTCCTAAACTAAACCTTCCTTATTGAGCCTGCCAAAATAAAGTGGCCTTAGAATGACTTTAAATTGTTTTATATTCTTTTTCAGATACCTTTGCAGCAAAACGTAAAGAGTTCTGACGGTAAATACCAACCAAGCTCCTTGTTAGTGGGCAGGATTATATGATGGCAATGGCCAGGGGATAGGGTCAAGGAGTGGGACTTGCAGCAGGAAGATCCCCTGCCCTTCAGTGTGCCCAAATCTCAGTCACAAGTTCTCACCAGAGTTTTGCTGCCACCCCCCAAGAGACCACCATGTGGCATCTTTCCTAAAATCACAGAATCATAGAATCACAGACTGGTTTGGGTTGGAAAGGACCTTAAGATCATCCAGTTCCAACCCCCTGCCATGGGCAGGGACACCTCACACTAAACCATGTCACCCAAGGCTCTGTCCAACCTGGCCTTGAACACCGCCAGGGATGGAGCATTCACAGCTTCCCTGGGCAACCCATTCCAGTGCCTCACCACCCTCACAGTAAAGAACTTCTTCCTTATATCTAACCTGAACTTCCCCTGTTTAAATTTAAACCCATCACTGCTTGTCCTATCACTACAGTCACTTGATGGAGAGCCTCTCTCCAGCATCCTTGTACGCCCCCTTCAGATATTGGAAGGCTGCTCTGAGGTGAAGATGTTGAAGTTGAAACCTTTCTGCAGGAGCATCCATGCCATCTGCAACATGGTGGGGGGCAACCAGGGCTCCCAGGGGCTCAGTCAGATTGCCACAGCCCTCTGAAAGTGGGGAGCAGCTGAATACTGAGATCTATTTGGTACAACAGGTGTAAGTGGCATGAAAGGACTGGCTATTTAAAACAGAATCAGTGCTCACTGCCACCTGCTTTTCCAGCTTTCAGCACTCAAAGTATGATGGATGAAATCCTGGCTCTGCCAGTTGAGGCCAACTGACTGAAGCTGAAGCAGGATTTTGAAGTCTCAGTGAAAAATGCTTATCATCTTTTCCCAGCATGGTCACTATTGCCTGATATATTCAGCTATGTCTATGGTTGACTTTCTCAATTTCTTGTGCAGGATAAATGAGACAAGCATGGCAGTGGAGCATGCTGCAGGGAATGGCACAGGATGGACCTGTTTGGGGTGCAAGAGGCTCACAGTGGCCAGGGAAAGCTGCCTGCCTCTGCTGCCTGCCTCCCTTCTCTCCTCCTCAAAGGAAAATCACAGCTGGGAATGGTGTAGAAGTAACCTGGAGCTTTTCTGGGCAGATATTTCTCTCCTTTCTGTTTCATGCTGCTTTAATGCATGGCTGCATGACAGTTACAGTGGCTGTTCCTAATGGATGCACCAGCACACGGAGCTTGGGAAGTGCATGTACCTAGTCATTAACAGGGAAGTTGAGCTTGCTTTTGTCTATGAGCTTCAAGGGAGGAGGAGGAGGCAGTGCCACCACTGCCCCTGCATGTGCCCAAGCCTTTTGGCAGAGGTCCTGCTCAGTGCTCCTTGACAGCCCTCAGACAGCCTTAGGCGTGATGGAGCAATGCTACACCAGATCCTGCACTGTGCATCCAAGAACCTGCCAGTGATTCACAGAAGGGTTCAAGCATCTCCCCTCTCCTGGGGGTGAAACCAGGCACACAGAGATTGAGGTCCAAAGTTTTCTGTTTGGTTTCAATACCCAGTTTTGGCCTCTCTGGGAGGTGCTGAGCATCAGCAATGCCAGGCAAAGCCCTGAGAAGCTGCAGGTGCTCAGCACCTCTGGCACTGAGCCCTCGGACTGGATGTGCCCCATACCAGAGGCCAGGCTGGGAGGAGATTGGTGAATTAAATGTCTTGCCAGAGGGCAAATGAGTCAGTGGCAGGTGATGAATATGGCTCTAGGCCTTACATCTTCCTTTTCTTTCACCCTGCCCATAACTCACAGTGACTCGGAGGAGATAGGAGCTGTAGGATGAGACTGTGCTCTCTCATTTCTTTTGCTCAGCTCTGGTTGGCTCCTGACTGGTACCATGTATCTGCCTCTCTGCTGAAACAAGGGTGCTGCAGATCCCCAGCACTACAGGAATGAGGCCAAAGATGAGCTGGCTCCCAGCTGGTGGCAATTTAACTCTCACCATGGCTTTCAAGAAGGACGAGGGGAGGGAAAGCAGCAGTTCTTTAATCTGAACAGTAACAGCTCTGCTGAAGCCAGACTTACAGCCCAATTTGAGGAGCAAGAAATGGCATGCCACTGAAATACTCCCATGTTGCAAAGGTAACGTCAATTCCTACCTACAGAAATAGCCTATCCTCCAGCAAAGTGGAAGGAGGGACATTACTGGAAGTACTTTTTAAAAGAAAAAAAAAATATAATGCTCAGAAAAGTATCTCTATTTAAATAATCCAGTTGAGATGTTTGTAGTTAATGGAAAAAAAAATACAACATATACTGTTACCTACACTGAGAAAAAGAGTAAATCAATGGGGAGAAGAATGAGTGTTCATTGGTTAGAACATCGCTAGACTCACATATATATATATTTATATATATATGTATATATATGTACAGCACCAGAGACTGTTAGATCCGTTCCCCCTGGAGTCATTGCAGTTTGTGATAAATGAAACATTTCAGAATTTGCAGTATAAAATATGGCCATAAAAAATCTTCTTTCTTCTAGTCCTTCGCAGAGCGAGCACCGCAGGGTGGGATGTGCAGGGGCAACCTGCCAGCCCCGCTGCCTGCCTGCTCCTCGCCGCCCCAGCTCTCACTTGCTCCCTGTGTGCACTGTGGTCACTGTGGTGGGTCTGGGTCTCCGGTCCCCTCCTACCGCAGAAACGCCTGAAGAAGCAGATGAAACAAAACTACAGAGAGTGGATGGAGACATACCTAAAAGGAAAGCCAGAAACACAGTTAGAAATGTTATGGTTGGAGGTGGGAAAGCTGAGTTTCTTTCGTAGCACGCTACAGAGCAGAGGGGACCGCAGCTGGAGACGGCGCTCCTGCTCTTCCTGCAGCTGTGGCTAGGCTGGGTACATCCATGAGGCATCTTCTGCCCTCCTAGCCCAATGGCCATTTGCCTACTGTCACCACCAGCAGTTGTATGCATGTTGCAATGAATACACGTCCAGCTTTGGTATGAGTTCATCCAGACTGATTCCACATTTCTGGGGCTGAAGACAAAGAGTTGTGGGATTCAGCAATCCCTCTGGCATTGTAGTGCTTAGAATAATTCTCCTTGTGGGCATGCTAAAGATGGTTAAACTTCTCATCATGGCCATCTAGCTAAACGAACAGACTGTGCATCTGGACTAAAGAAAGTTCCCCAGGCATCGTGGAAAGCTGCTGATAAAAAGGTACAGTGGGTCAAATTCACCGCTGAGTTCCAGTAAACCTAAAAGGAATGTAAATCTGTGGGATCTGGGCATTACTCTAGTGACAGCTTATGTTGCTCCAGGTTTTGCTGGTAGTTCTCCAGGATTTCCAGCTAAGAGATGTAGGTTGATGTAGGTTGAGTATCTGGACTCATAATTTACCCAGGCAGTTCCTTTTGAACTCATCAAAGACTTCTTACAGATATCTTTCTATGAAAAGAAGGGGTTTTAGCAAAAATAAAACATTCATAGAAAGTGTCCGCTTCCTGTGGACCCCTCACCACAGCTCTAAAAACCAAACCTCTCCAAAGCATAACCCCTGAAAACCCAACGCAAGCTGGGTTTTGAATGATAGATTCAAGATCCTGCTACTCCAGCATGCCAGCATTAATGAAGAGAAATAAAATACATCATTACTAGAGCTTTCTGCAGGTGAGCTGCCCCTCTCCCAGCAGCTGTGGAGACCCCACAGAGATGATCCTTAGACCTTGCTAGCACATGCAGCTCTTCATGCAGTTTGCAGCCTTCAAGGCACTGATGTGCAAAGGTAGCTCTGGTGCAAGAAAAGCTGCTGAATGGGAGACCTGGCACAGCCACTTTGCTCTGGTAAGATGCAGGCTCACAATGATTAGAAATACAGTTCATTTTTCCTAGTGAATAAAGGGCAGATGAAAAGTACATTAATATATTCTTGGACTGGAGTTTGATATGGCCCCTTGACTACTTAGGATTTTTTGATACTTGTTACGACTTTTAACTACTTTTCCGTGCTTCAAGGTTGCATTTCAACCTCAGGGCTGACTATGTGGTACCTACACTAGTGAACATCCTGCTTCCCAGCAGTTTTGACATTTGACAACTTGGCTTCACGTTGCAATTTATCTATTACCTTAAAAACACAGAGATCTAGGTCCTGTAACTAACCTAGCCAGTCCAGTCATGTCTTAACAGAATAAACCAAGCACAGGCAGAGAATAAGGCAAATACACTTGAGAATTCCTGACTGATTCACTTAGACTTTCTTGACAGGTAGCATAATCCAGCCTAATGCATCATCTTTGCTTTGCCCTAATACAGAGAACAGAATTAGGATGCAGCCTGACATAACCTACTCTCAGGCGAAAGCTGTATTTAATTGTCTTCAGTGATGTGAAATTACTGCATCTGAAACGATTTGGAGAGCTTATTAAATGCCTATTAATAACATTAGGCAGCTTTATATTTTGCAATGGTGGCACAGCTGTTTTGTGTAACTTGCCACATGGGATCTATCTTGTGCAAGAAATCTGTCCCCAGAGGAAACCACTGAGAAAGAAAGAGGCAGGACAGAGACCTCAGAATCCTCTCAACAGGAGGTACTTGGTGGACTGCATTGGATATGTCAGCTCCCTCTTAACGTCACTCCTGTATTTCCTGCTAGCTCTTCTCACTAGTTCTCTAAGGCTCCAGCATCTCCTAACTCTGATTACTTTGAGGAAGGGAAGCTCTTCCATATTGTCTGCCAAGCTGGTCTTAACCTGGGATGCTTGGAAATCTTTCAATACTTTTCTGCCTCATGTTTCTAACATGAGAAAACTTATCTTAACACATTTGGTTTTACTCTTTCTATGCTTGCTGATGTCTCCATCAATACAAAATATGGCTGGGTTCTGTACAGAGACCTGCTGGATTCTGTAGTGGTTCAACACACTATTTTGTTCTCACCCTTCTTGTTCACAGATGTTTTTCCATTACTCTTCATACTACGCAGTGCTATTAATTAACACCATTTGACATTAATCAAATAGATGGAGAGAGATTAATCACCCACTAGTCTAACAGCAAAGCATGCCATCAGATGTTCTAGATCTAATGGGGGTCCAGCTTAGCCATACTGCAGCAGGAACTAAAATAAAGTCATGTTTCTCTTCTGTAAAGGGTTTTCTACATTGCTGCATTACCAGTGCATGGTTTGGAAGTGCTTTGTGGCTGGTCAGCACTTCATCACCCCTTTGCAGGTGCCAGATGTGTGCCGAGAGCACAGTGATGATTTTTTGGCGGCAGCTGTAGGATTTGGCACTGGGCATGAATCCCCATCAGGCCCAGGATGCAGAGGGAAGGGGCTCTCCTCTGGCTCAGCTACAGCCCAGGCTGGCAAAAACATCTTGTGCAGCACCCAGAAGGCAGATCACACCCCAACTGTACCCATGATAGGAAAGAAACCACAGCTTCCATAAAGAGCTGTGGGGACTGCAGATGGTGGCATGTCCTCATCAAGGAGCAGAGACTGGCAAGAGGCAGGGGAGAGGCAGCACTATCCAAACTCCTTTCCAAACAGTAGGTGCTTTCAGCTCCAGAATAGTGCAGGGTATAGTAAAGAAATGACCACTTCAGTCCCCAGTGAAGCAAGTACTGACTTCTAACTCCACAAGCTATTAGGATTCCTTTTTGTTGCTGAACCTTAAAATAATCTCCTCTAATTGTAAAGTCCACATCACTCCATTTCTTGATATAAAAATGTCTACAGATGGATGGAAATAAAAGAAATGCTCAGAAGCCAGAGATTATACAGGCTTCATTGCAAAAGACACATTTCTATTTTCCCTTATGTCTCCTTCCCTGGCATCCAGAAAAAACGTGTATATCCCAAGCATGAGTCCATCGGGCAGCTTGCACATCTCAACTACAGCATGTAACAAACAAGGCAGGAGGCCAAGTCCCGCTGTGGTGTACAGAGCCTGAGTCCTGCTCAGACAAATGAGCCTCTTCGTACAGGAGCTTAGGCTGGCTCAGCCTGGCAGGATCAGTCTCCTCCATAGTAAACAGAAACGGAAAATGAGCCAATTTTTACAGAAAAATGTCTTATCATAATACTGGAAACTCAACCATAAACAGTTTGAGTAAACTTTTTCAGTTTTCAGCCAAATACAGAAATTCTTTTTCTGGGTCTTTTTCCCAAGTGAAAGCCTTTTTTCTTCACAAGAAACAGTGTTTTTCTCTAAAAACTGAAAGCAACCAAAACCTTGTATTTAGTGCATAAACTTCTGGCCAGCTAAAATTGAAGGCCTCTATTCCTTTTCAGCCCTGATTTAAACACCTGCTTGCACAAAGCCAAACCAACTGGCAGCGAGGACTGCAGCCTGGGGGTCAAAGGGGGAAAACGGGTGTCCCGTGAATTTCCTTGGGAGCTTTCCTGGGATGTTGGTTACTCACAATCTTTCCGTGTGGCTGCATCGGGAAGCGGCGCAGCGAGGCTGAGGGTGCTGGAGACGCTGGTGCTGGCACTGTCCAGGCTGCTGCCGAGGTGTAACCGCCTCATGTGCCGCACGACGGCTGTGGCGTTAAACGCTTGCTGGGGAGAAGAGAACAAGAGAGAAAGGATGACAACATGGGAGGTGGAAGGGCTGCTTCTGCTCCTCTACCAGCTGATCATGGCTGTCAGAAGTGAATGAGCACATCATCTGATTATTCTTCCCTCGGTGCTCAGCTCTAGGACCCCCAACACAAGAGGGATGTGGACCTGTTTGAGGGGACCATGAAGATACTCTGAGGGCTGGTGCAGCTTTGCTCTGGAGACAGGCTGAGAGCTGGGCTTGATCAGGCTGAAGAAGAGAAGGATCCAGGGAGACCTTGTAACAGTCTTCCAGCTCCTAAAGGGGGCCTACAAGAAACCTGGAGAGGGACTTTTTACAAGCACATGTAGGGACAGGACAAGGGGGAATGGCTTTAACCTGAGAGAGTGAAGATTTAGATTAGAAATTATGAAGTTCTTCCCTGTGAGGCTGCTGAGGCTCTGGCACAGGGTGCCCACAGAAGCTGTGGCTGCCCCATCCCTGTCAGTGTTCAAGGCCAGGTTGGACACTGGAGCTTGGAGCAACCTGCTCTAGTGGAAGGTGTCTCTGCCTGTGGCAGGGGTTGGAACCGGAGGAGCTTTAAGGTCCCTTCCAACCCAAACCAATCTGTGATTCTATGATTCTACCTTTCAAACTTTTCTTGATTTCTAGTTTCTAAGCTAGAAACAACAATATCAAACCATATACATTTCTGCTCTGGTCCTTCTCCGTGTTGTCCCTTCTAGCACTCGGTTGGGATGCTGCTGCCTACAAGGAAAGTCATATTCAACACATTCTGCTCTGCACCAGCACATGGGGGGTCTGCATTGCATCATGTGTCCTGTGGTGCTGACCCCAACTCCACATATAACAATGAGTGCTTTAGCAGCCCCATTATTTCATTGTCTTTATATAGAATCATAGAACAGTTTAGCTTGGAAGGAACCTTCAAAGGCCATCCAGTCCAACACCCCTGCAATGATCATGGACGTCTTCAACTAGATCAGGTTGCCCAGAACCATGTCCAGCCTGGCCTTGAATTTCTCAGGGATGGTGCATCCATCACCCCTCTGGGCAACATGTGCCAGTGTTTCATCACCCTCATTGTAAAGAATTTCTTCCTCACGTCCAATTTGAATCTCCCCTCTTTCAGTTTAAAACCATCACCCCTCATCTTATCACAACAAACCCTGCTAAAAAGTCTCTCCCCATCTTTCTTATCCCCTGTAGGACCATGCAACTGAAGTCTGGGCTGAGTATTTTGACCAAAATTTTGTGCCACAAACACACTAGCATGCTGAAGGGGTGGTTGTATGGCTGCTGCATTAGCAGAGTTGTGTGTCTAAGTGTCATCCCTGAGGATTTGTTACTTACTCTCCATTTGCTTTTTGCAAAGTTCTTCCGGATCTGAGCGCTGACTGACTCATGGATGTTTTTGTTGAGCGCTGTATCCCCAGCAATCCTGAAATGAACAGACCAGACAAATTGTAAGCCATATTTTGCTCTCTTTCTTTTTCTTCTCCTTAACCGAGAAGGCCGGCCATAGGTGTGATTTCTCCTTCAGGGATGATGATTTCATTCACATGAGGGCTCAAACTTCCCACCACTGTCTCTGCTGGCAGCAGTGGTGGAAAATCTGGGGCAATAAAAGCAAATGCAGATAAGGCTTGTAGGTCTGGCAGCTACAAAGAGGTACAACCTTATTCTGTTGGTGCATGGCTGCTTTCTATCACCATTACAGCCCTAGATGAAAACATTCTACCTGTTTTTTTCTTTACATCTGAGGATTTAACATCAACAGGCTGGGACTACTTTTAGCCTCAGCCATGCAGCAGCTTCCAGAGCCACTCCAACCTGTCCGATTTCTGTTTGCACTGGAGATTTTCCTGCCACCCTGCAATATACATAGCCATTTATCATGACTGATGTAGATTTACAGTAGAGCAGATACACGGATGGTCACTACAGCAGCAGCACAGGCTGCACAAATAGCTGAAGGTGAACAACACTTAACCTAAAAAATTGACAGATACTGTATAGTTTCTTTAACAGATAAAGACACATTCAAATCTCCACTAACATGATTATTTCAAGGGAATTTTATTGTTTCATTTAACTCCTCAAGGCATGAGATCCGCTGGAAGAGTAAGCATCAGAGTGAACTGACTTTGCACCATGTGCTGGGGTAATGCTACCTAACTTGGGTGATGCCAGTAATAAAGATTACATTCTATGTTGTATGTGATGTTTTCAGAAATCAATTTTTTATCCACAGTGTAGAAAACCAATGTCCATTAGCAATAAAAAACTACAAGAAATTGAATAATCCATTAAGAATCTCCCAGCCTGGGGACCTCCAGTAAAATAATCAGAGGATGTGGGGGACACAGTGGTTACCTCATTCTTCCTGTCTCCCCCAGCTCTGTCAAAATAATTCTGAGATATATATGCCTAACTAGTCCTTGAAGATCTCCAAAAGACGGAGACTCCTCAGGCAACCTATTCCAGTGCCCCACTGTCTCCCAGAAGACATGGAAAATAGTTTATTCTTTGTCTTTGAAGCATCCTTTCACATATTTGAAGACTGTTATCATGTCTTCTGTCCGTCTTCTCTTCTCTAGACTAAACAAACTGAGTCTTTCACTGTTTCTTCATAACTCATATTTCCTAATCCTCTGATCTACTGAGCTCCTCTGGACTTTCTCCAGCTAGTCTTCCTTAGAGGGCAGTACCTAAACTGTTCGCTGTTTTCCAACTAAGGCAGCAGAATGGTAGCATTGCTTTGTGTTTCTTCAAAGATGAAACTTTGCTTACATACCACAGCCTGCCATTTCCATTTATGTGTCCCCTGAATTGGAGACATTCCTTTCATTTTGTGAAGACCATCCCAAACTATAACACTGTTCTTCAAAGGACATGCAGATTTTTCTACCTTTGTGTCAATGGCACATCTAACAAGTGGTCTCTGGGACCAGTCTTCTCAAATTGCTCTCCTCCTTCCTGCTGGCAAAACTCACCCAGGATGTCAGAGAGATGAGAGGAACTACTTACTCTTGGGAAGAAGAGGGACTAAACTGCTATCTCCCAACAGTGGAGAGCCACTAATCCTATCCTGCTGCAGCTAAGTGTTGAGTTATTCAAGAGTACTGGAGCCTGCAGGATTGTGGGCAGGAAGGAGCAAGGTTTCTCATTCAGGGTAGCCCACCTCCAACTGTTTGTCTAACTGCCACTGCTACATAATCTCTATGTCAAGTAGACAGAAAAACTGGTACCATGAGCAAAGCATGGCTCCCAAATGGCGCTTGACATTCTCTCTTGGGTCCCTATGCTGTTGATGGAGATTAGGAGGTGTTTGACAGAAAATTGGGAGATCTTCAGTTCTTGCTTCAAAAAGGATTCCTTCTGATCTCCTCTCTGACAGTAAGGTAAATTGGTCTGGATTTCCCACTGGAGGAAGGCAGATAAAATCTTGTGAGGCAGCATCTAGGTTAAGCATCATGTTCACTGCAGACAGGCCCTAGCAGAGTTTCCCAGTGGGAATGCAGACTGCTAGTCCAAAATGCCATGAACATTATGCTCTGCTCAAGAACAGCTCCTCAGTGAAGGCAGGTGCCCTCAGCACATACCATCTGGGAGCACTGACCATCATACTACAGATCTGTAGATGAAAACGAAGATAAGCACTTAATATATGCATAGCTGCAAGCCAGAGCATCCATTTAGTAACTGATCAAACAGACCAACTGCAAAGAGAAAATTAACTTATATTTGCAAAGAACATTTTCCCTCCAAAGGAATGAAGCATTTGGCTTTATGAACAAGTTGGTTAACAAGATGTAAAAGCACAGATCAAGTTTCCCACTTGTCAAATTCTATTTTGGAAACAGAGACAGAACAAGTTCTTGGGGCATGATAGCCTTGCCAGCTCTTCCAGAAGATCTTTCCTGTCAGTCTCCATACTTGCAAATGCATTTTTGCTATATGAAAATTTTCACTGGGTGTGTAGCTCAAATACAGGCTAGATGTTTTAGGGATCATTTTTTTAAATGCCGATGGTTTCTATAAGAAACTGCTGGTTCCAGTGGTTCACAAAGTGTCTTCTTCCTCCACTAACTCTATGTTCACTATGCAATTCTCATAATCCCAGAAAAAAAGTCTTGGTGTTTCCCAAATAGGCAGGACAGTACTTGTTTACTTAAGAACGAGATGGACAGACAGTCCATGAAGCCCTCAGATGCTACAGTGGTGGGGACCATCCTACATCTAATACCTCTTCAGCAGCGTTAGCACCTTGCAGATGCTAGTTTTTAATACGAGCAAAATAACATCAGTGTTGGGTCTAATTTAGTGTAGCAGGATCCATTCAAACACATGCTGGTATGACAAACAGCATGGCTTAAAGCACAGCCCCAGCTGCCCAAGCTGGCTGTGGGATTGTTCTCCAAGCCACCTTTGAAGAACCGTCCTGTTAATGGTGCAATGTTGTATCAGGAAGACTGTGCTTTTATACTGTATTCTGTACTTGAAGGATCTTGAAACTTACATAAAATACTTGCAGTATTATAGTGTTTATAGTGTAGTTTTGCTTCTAGGAAAACAGAAGAAATGTTAACATTCATTTGCCATTGATGTTTTGCTGGAGATGTGGTGCTTTAAGGACAGAGGCAAGAGAGGTGGAGGTGAGCAGGTATAAGTCATATCTTCTATACATCGACTGGTAGAGTTTGAAAACTGAGATAAGCTTTTGGGCACAGAAACCTACCTCAAGGTGGGTTTCATGAGCGTTATCACATCTATACTGAAGGTATTTAATCATGAACTCCAATTCCCATGCTGACAAGATAATGCATGAAATTTAATAGAGATACTGGTTTTAGAGCACATCACAATCACCCTTCCACCTTTCTCTAATTCTCCAAGTCCACAGGCTATAACCCATCTTGCTTTTCCTTTTAGGGCAAAAAAAAGTTAGCAACTTTCTTTTTAACTCCCTCCCCTGGACAACATACGCTTCTCCTTCAGGAATCAGCTCCATTTTTCCTGAGAAACAGCCACCACCTTCTGTTTCAGAGATGATCAAACTGATGCATATCTAGTCAAACCCTGAGCAACAGTTCCTGGCTTTCCGCTTAACTTGGAAGGTAACTGTCAGGATGGAAGCTTGCTTTTACCAACTATTCCAGTTGGCCGGTAAGAGATACTACTTCTACCTACCACACACATCTACAAACCTAAAATTAAACAGATCAGAATAATGCATGATTCACTATCATGCTGAGCATCATCTAGAATCAAGCAAAGATTGATGAGCCCAACTGGAACATGTTTTTTCTCTCGGTGTTCCCATTTTGCAGCATGTGAAAGCAGCTACAATGGTTAGGGGAACTTCATGTTGAAGCTGGTTTTTCATCCAGTTGTAAATGTATGTGTCTCAACACACAGAATTGGATACCAAGAGCCACAATCTAACAACTCTCTGTCACAAATACTTCCACTGAAGCTAAGAAGAGTATTTCTCATGAATAACCGTAAGAAATCTAGCCCTGCATGCGGGAGGCATCTAATCTAATGATCAAATATTATTTCATAGTATCTAATTTATTATAACTTTCTATCTGGGTTCAAAGCGATCACAGCGATTTATCAATGTATTAGTATTACCATACTAATTCTAAGCTTTGAGAGGAACCTCCAACAAAGTCCCTCATCTACCATTATTTTCTGAACATTCATATAGAAGGCAGCAAACTCAAATGTTGTGCTGGCCAAACAGTACTTGGAAATACTCTTGAGCATGATGACAGGAAACATGGAGTTAGCTGTAATGGATGATGTCGGAGGATCGTAACTCTTCTATACATACACACGCACACATATATATACACACATACCCCACATGCATGCGTATAAATATACACACACACATACTCTATCAGTGATGCTCCAAAATAAATAGAGTGCAGGGACAAGCTTGATAAGAGTTTGATTTAATGTTGTAAACATCAGCAGTTCCCTTCAGGAAGCCCTTTTCACACTTCAAACAACATAGTCTGAGAACTGAGCTCTTTGTAAACCATGTCCTTTCCCTGGGTGGAAATTATTATCTGGCTCATGCTCTCTGGCACATAATAAACACTCGGGGTCATGGTCACAATTTTCAGAGGCTCAGTCCTTGCCAAAGCTTTGTGATTCTTCGGCGTAGGCGGGATGGATGTTGGCAGGTCCCAAGTATCTGCTCCCCCCCTGCACAAGCAGTGGGGAGAGGCGAAGGCCACACTTATACCTGCGGACATAAGTGTCTAATTTAGGTGCCACAATCTCCTTTTCCCCTTTACAGTCTACAGGGAGACAATACATACAACACCCTTTAATTTAGATGTCCCAAGTTGCCTTTGATGCCATAATGAGCTTCAGCACACAGCTCTAAATCCCATTTAAGGTCACTTGGGTAATGTGTGACAGAGACAAATTCATGGAACACCTAATTCCTACACTGGCTTCCTAACTGTTGGACTTTTCTCTTCCCCCCCCCCCCCCCCCCAAACTGTTTTCTCTCCCTTTGACCTGAGCCTGGAGGCTGAATTTGGGGCTGTAGAACCCAGCTTGACCTGACAGGGAGCACAGTGTGATCCTATAGCTATGGAAAAAAACAGGTCCCCAGCTTCCTGCTGCTTGCCCTTAATCACTGCAATCTGAGCAACTGCCCTAAACAGAATGTGGGCTCTGACAAGGCAATATATTTAATAAACTTAATTGCTGCCATTAATACAAGCTAGGGAAACATTAAAATGTATCAAGCTGCAGCAAAATTACCCCACTCTTTTGTTACCTTCATTTTCCACATCCTTTTTGAAAAGTCACAGTGGAACAGCTAGGCAGAACATTGCACCTCTGCAACACACCATAAACAGTGCAAACATCAGTGAAAGATATGCTATAAAGTAAATAACTTTTCCAATGGAAAGCATAAGTCACCTGTATATTCAACTGGAGAAATCTGTATAAATGGGCAGATTGTACAGGCCGGGGTGTAATCATTATACCAATAAGTCTTACACATTGTACTGTTTCCACTACAATACTTCACTGCAATTATTAGACTCCTTTTCTGCCAACTCCAAGTTTAACATACCGTCCCCCTGCCAAGGTCTTTTGATTATAAATAGCAAAACATCACGTAAATGCAAGCATGTGGGGAGCAGATACAGCCCAGAAAAGTGGGCCATTGGGAAGAAGTATTTACTTTTTTTAGGGTCTGATCCTGTACAAACATTTCGTCATGTGAATAACTGGCTATTCGAGAGCAGTTTCCCAAAATTCAAAGAGATTATTAACCTTAAAGGCACAAAAGTAACATCTTGCAAAATCCAGTTCTTGCAAGCCTTGTTTGGAAGTCTTAATAGAACCATGGTAATTAAAATAAGAGGTATGTTTTGGAATCAGTCTGTTTTTCACAAATGTTACATATTGAAACAACAAATTCTCATGCAGTTAACTACTTTTATCACAGTAAGATTGTGATTAACATGCATGTGTTAAGTACTTACGATTTAATAGATTTCTTTCTAATTTGTGGCTGATCCCAATGATCTGATACTGCAGGGGCAGATTTCACAGGAGGAAGGAAAAGGGTAAGCTGGAAAATGTCACTACACAGAGTCAGTTCATCATATACATCCCTGGCAGTGTTTAAGGCCAGGTTGGACGGGGCTTGAACAACCTGCTTTAGTGGAAGGTGTCCCTGCCCATGGCAAGGGGTGGAACTGGATGAGCTTTAAGGTCCCTTCCATCTCAAACTATTCTATGTTTATCTACCATTTGCACAGTACCAATGACTTGGGTAGATGTTCTCTGTTCTGCTGGTGAGACGGGGAGACAATACCCAACTCAGTGGCAAAACTCCCATTAACCTCAGTGGAATCAGGATTTCACTTCCTGCAAACTCTAAGGTTCAAAGATGCTTCTCCAGTTACCTTGATCTACAGAACCAGTTTGTGCAGACACCTCTATGAGATGCCATTAAGTGCTACTTGACACTGTAGCTGACCATTGAGAAGAAGCATAGAGCTGTCTTCCTCCTCTACCAAAAAGGCCTTCCTCTCCTTCAAACAGGAGGATGTCATTGCAACAGATATAATGGCTAGAATAAGACAGAAGCAGTAAAAACCTCATTATTTCCTGGCATAAGCAATCTGGGTAGAAAACGTTTCTTGAGCAATGGCTTGGCAAAAGGAGATCCTATCACTAACTCTAAAATAACAGATAATATCCAGGTGAGTAGCATTGATTATCCAAAAAGGCATTTATCACTGTAGGATCCAAACCCTCCAAAAAATCGCTCTCCAGAGATGTCGATAACTACAACACTAGTGTTACAGGAAGCCTTTCAGAGCAAGGGGGAATGAGACACTGAGTTCTGTTCAAGAGCATACTAGGGAGGACAGAGGCAGATCTGAAGCTTTATCTTTGGAAACCTCCACTTTGCTTTCACTGGACAACTGTCCTTCTGTAATCCAGTGGCACATACTGTCTCTGTGTTGAAGGGAGGCGGATTTGGGATATGAATTGGAGACGTGATGAATATCTTAAGGCTCCCTACTGCAGTGCCATTTGTATGTCTGGCACTTCAAAGGCTGACCCGTGATTTGCATGGCTGAGAGGTAGCCCTGAATGTGAACCACTGCTTTGCAAAGTCAGCCTGGCAGAAGACAATCCCCTGCCACAGAAATGGGGTAAACCCCTTTTTGGGTGAGTTGTTTTTAAATGGAAGATTCGATTTTGTAGAAAATATAAAGAATTATGGAGCAGTCTGTGAGTTTCCATTGGCTCCTGGCCATGACATGCAAATGAAAAGAAAAAAAGGGGAATGAAAATACTTTTTATCATTTTGTTCCTTTAGGAGGGCCCAGAAGCCATGTGTGTCACAAGTGCCACGTTTCTTTGTTGCACTCCAGCAACCAACACAGATGTAGTGGGGCCAAGAGCTGGATGCTTAGTGTTTTATGTATCTTGGATGTAAGGCTTTGGAAAATCTGCCTCTGAGTTCTACAAATGGTCACCTCATTCTCTGCTGGGAGTTGCATTCCCATTGTTTATTCTGTATTTCTAATACTGACTGTTGTAACTTGTTTAATTTCCTGAGGCTCAGGTCAGTATCATATAAAAATGTCTTCAGTTGTTGGGGTTAGGCTTTCTTTTTGTTTCATCTCATGAAACCTGGATTTCATTTCCCAAATTTCCTTTTTGTCACACAGACAATGGAGTTATTGATGAGACAAGGGAAAAGGGCAGGCCCAGGCCTTGACTTCTCATCTCTTGTTTGTATTGATGCCAGGCACTGATGCAGCTAAAAAACGTCTCTTTTGTTTCTCCTTGTCATTGGCATGGGGGATGGAAACCAAGAACCTTGCTTTTCTTAATGACTTATATTGCATTCTGCATCACAAGCCTTTCCTAAAACTTTTTAATTCTTAAAGGCTGAGGCTAAATCTTACCTTCAGCCTAATTTGTAATCACAGTGACAGTCTGCAGTCAGACAGTGGTACATCATTCCCACTATGAAGAAATCAGTGCCATTTCACTGTATTTCTACCACTTGTGTAGTCATTACTTACTGAACACCTTCATGAGTGTCAAATCATTAATTAATGATGGGGTAATTCATCAGCAAGCCAGAAGGTAAAAACCTGTGAAAGGATTTACATCTAGTCCCAGGACTGAAAACAGCAATGAGACAAGACAAATCAGTGAGTGTCAGAGACAGAAGCATAAACCTCTGAAACCACAACTAAGTACTTGTTCTAGAGCTACAGCCATTAAGTTTTACTCTGCTTTGAAATTTAATACAATTTTAAGCTGGGTACCAAGTTCTGTCCCTTCATGGACAGAAAGGTTGAGGAGTGTATCCAAAACCCATGTCTGTTAAGGAGGCAGAAATGACAAGAGCCCTGCTGATATATCTCCCCAGCCTCAAAGGGATGCAGACTCCATCCTCCAAACAAATGTCTCCATATCCCAGCAGAAAGCAGTGCTATCTTAGAACACACTGACAATTTCTATGCCTGCGCTTTTCTTACCATGCACTTTATACTCAACTACACTACTTGAGGCTTATCTCTGTGCTCAAATTGCATCACGAAGATGGTTTTGAGGTCCATCAGGCTGTAGAGCTAGTTATGACTCTGGTCCAGTTGCTTTTCTGAGAGGCTATGGACACTAAAGAAAACCTGTTGCCCTGAAAATGCACAGCCTAATGCTTTTATCCAGCCAGTGCTCCAGAAGCTGCAGAAAGGAAATGGTATTTGTGGTAACTGTGATAACATAAAAACACAGTCTAATGTGCACCTGGGGTGAAAATGTCGTGCCATTGATTCCCTTCTGTTGCCACTATTATAACAACCAAAATAATATCAAGCTTCATATATAATGATCCCTCTCTAAAAGGCTTACATCTAGAGCCCATTTGCAGGTGCAGCTGGTAGTGTGGGGTGATACTCTTGTCACTCAGGGTTGGTCAAAAGTACATGAGCCACTCTTCCTTCAGCTACATAATCCTTGGGTAACTTTGGTGAAGTCATCCATGTGCAAAGGCACCATCTGATTTAAAGCACTTAGCTAAGGTCTAAATTACAAATAGAGTCAGACCACGTACTTTTCTGTAGTCGCTGCAGAGAGATAGCATTGCTATATTCAATTCAGCCTCAGTTTATCCCCCCTTTAGGGTTTCCTATCTCCCCCATTCAACAAGAGAGAATAACAGCATGTGAAATCAGCCCCCTGCTGCAAGGAGGAGGTGTACTATCACCTGTGAAGCACAGATGAGGACTTTCTACTTCATGGGGTGCTCTTAAGTGCTCTGATACTACTTTAGCAAGGACCTCAGGAGCAGGTTGATACCCAGCTGTACATCTGCAGACTTTGACCTTTTGCCCCACAATATGATTTCTCGGTTCAACCATTTTGGCATATCCCACTGCTCCACTATAGTCAACATACATAATTCAGCATTTCACTGAATTGTGGTACAGAGACTCAATAGGTTGGTGCTTGAGGTTAAAATCCATCATGGTTTTCCAGGAAAATCTGGAGGACAAAAGTGGGGGTTGTAAGAATAAAAACCCAGAGTTATTTAGTAGAGGTTAGCATACTACGAGACAGACGTCACTTCCACCCATGAATGTAGAATGATGCTCTCTGCTCTGAAGGGTTTCACACAGCAGACTATAGCTTACCAAGGGTGCCGTGCTGCTTGCTCACAGGTGTATCTTTTATTAGGGTCCTTCTCCATCAAATTCCGAATGAAGTCTTTAGCTGTAAAAAAACAGAATAATTTAAAGCAGTAGGTTTGGTGCCCAGTTCTGCTGCCATATGACCAGCCAACAGCACTGATCAGGCTACCAACTGCCATCTGGCCACAGCACCAGGAATAGCCCTGAGTCATTTGTCATTTATTAGCATGGATATAACTGAAGTGACTTAGGACAAAATCCAGGCTATTTAGTATGGCAGATGAAACCTGAAGGCATCTATGCCTGCAGGTATATTTAGGAGTGGGATGGTAATACAGAGTCAGCAGAGTACAAGCCTGCCAGCTCCCTGGTCAGCCAACTGCCTCTGACCAACTTTGTGGTCTGAATATGGCCACAGCTGTTGGAGATGCTGATAAAGAGTGGGAAAGGCAAAGAGAACACCACAATAAGAGGCACTTCTCATTGCTCACTCCAAGCAATCACATGCATTGGCAGCTTCAAGGACATGCAGCAGATTTAAAAACAAGTTACTGAGGAAAACGGACTCCCTTGAGCATGAGGTAGTGTGCTTTTAATTGACACTCTAATGGAAGGAAGGGAGATTGCAGCATGGCATGCATCCAGTAGTTTCAGGAGAGAGCTCCTGAAAGAGCCACAGCAAAGCCAAATATGGGAGGAAAATCTTTGTGCTGATTAAGGTGATGGACTTTGCCCCAATATGCAAAGGGGTCTGCCAGCAGACCTTCATACTTTCTCTGAAATCCCTTATGGGCTTAAAAACACTTCTCATCACATATAATTTTAGGCAATCCATCACAGCGATATCTGGACAACAGATGCAAGCAGCATGAAATGTTGTTCTATGCTGAGATAACAGGATATATAATCTTCAAAATGAAACACTTCTTTTTATATCTCCCCTGCCTTAATCAGTAGTATTAATGCATCAGAAAACTGCATTTTTAGGGTTATTTCTATATGATAAAATATTCCTAGAATTCATTTCTTCTGCATGAAATGACAGACATTCCCACGGGTTGGACAAAGCAAGGACACTGAGCTTGCGTGACCTCTTGGAGACCACACACCACGTCAGTGGCACATGCAGGGTGCAATGCTGAACATGTCCCTGATGCCACATACAGACAGTGATGCTGGTAGACAATGAGCCATGCTGGAGCCAGAAGCTTGTATAGGCACATTTGCCTGTAACAGGTTGGTGTATCTGCCTCTCTGACAGACTAGAGCCAGGGCAGGCGGGCACTATGGGTTCATAGAATCATAGAATGGTTTGTGTTGGAAGGGACCTTAAAGCTCACCCAGTTCCACCCCCTGCCACAGGCAGGGACACCTTCTGCTAGAGCAGGTTGCTCCAAGCCCCTGTGTCCAACCTGGCCTTGAACACTGCCAGGGATGGGGCAGCCACAGCTTCTTTGGGCACCCTGTGCCAGAGCCTCAGCACCCTCATAGTTAAGAATTTCTTCCTAATGTCTAATCTAAACCTACCCTCTGTCAGTTTAAAACCTTTGCCCTTGTCCTATCCCTATAGGCCCTTGTAAAATGTCCCTCTCCAGATTTCTTGTTGGCTCCTTTAAGGTATTGGCTACATGTCTTCTGCACTTGGCAAGCACATGGGCAACTATCTGGATCCAACCACGCAGACAGCAACCCCAGTTTCTGAATGTGCTTACCTGCTTCATTTGGAAGCCATTAATTTCTTGGGTTCTTTGCTGTATACACTGCAAACTTGCTTTGGACCTGCAGTGCAGCATCAGTGACAGATCCAAACTAGTTTGCCACCTTATTATTGACACATAAACCACCTGGTTTTTATTTGGATATGATGAAGAAATTAATCTGCTTTGTCTTCTTGGCAGTCTCCTGCTATCTCCATCTTCTATTCCAGCTATGTTTAGTGCTTTGTGTGGGGCTGGACAAAATGGTACTTTATTTGTTCTCCTGCAAAACTATTTCAGCTGAAAGAAATGTACATTCCCAACAGTTTTCAGTTAAAAGAAGCTCCACAGATGGTGGATGGTGCATTCTCACACCCAGAGGAGGATATCTGCAACAGGCACACATGCATGCACGGTTGTTGCAATTAAATGAGCAGTAGCTTCTTACCAGACTCAGAGATGTCATCCCAATACGGAGAGTCAAACTCATACTCCGCCTTAAGGATCTGCTCAAAGAGCTTGGAGTCATTTTCGTCGTAGAAAGGGGGATACCCACAAAGCCTAATGGAGGACAAGAAAAGAGAGATGTGACCCTTGGACCTGTCTCTGCCCAGAATGTGAGAAAGGGGGAGGGAGAAGAAGGAGAAGTTCTTGTTTAAGACTTGTCCCAATAAGTTTTCAAGCAGGCAGGCTCTACCATGACAGAGTTTTGTTCAGGGATGTGTAAACCCACTTCTGAAGATTGGCCCTATCCTGCACAAATTGGAATTCTGCATGGTAACCTGGTGCTGTTGACCCTACACTGACATGCAGATATCCTGGCCTGCCTCTGCATGCTTTTGGGTGTTTAGCCAGAGGAGCTATTTTACACAGTCAGGAGCCCTTCCGTCCTCTCCTATACATGTGGTAAGAGGAGCTTTCATGGGCTACACCCACAGGGCACCAGTGGCATCAGGCTGGCTTGGAGCACAACCCATGATCTCAACATTGTGCAAGAGACCACAGCTGTATAGGAATGTTTGCTGGGCAACTGGGGAGCCACTGGACAACGCATGGACTTCTTGGGAAGGAATAGCTGGTGAAAAGCAGGACAAGGAGCCACACAGAACTATCAGACAAAGGGCAGGCTACATCTGCAGGTTTTGCTGGGCTCTGCATCCCCAGGGACAATGAGGATGACGTCTGGGAGTCACTCCACCTCTGCAGAAGAGCCTTCATGGGCTGCACATGGACCTGCTGCTTCTGCTGCTGCAGAGGCACATGGAGAGCCTCTCCTTTTCTCATGTCTGCAAGTGATTTTGTTGCCCACACCTATTTGCCTATCTTGCCTGTGGCTAACCCCAGTCCTGTCCTGGTTTTCAGCATTTATAGTCAGATTTCTCAGGACACCTACCCCGGGACAAGCAGGACATTGAACATTTGCCAAGTTTGAGCTAAAATACTCAGGATGCATCCTCCCAGTACTGCAGACAGCAGGATAGTCACTGGGACAATATAGGGCTCCTCCAGTCATGGGAAAACCAGATCCAGCACTGCATTAAGGAAACACAGCCATAAAACTCATGTGTTGGAGATCCCTCATGTCCAGCTGATGCTTCATGCCCCCTCTGTACAGACATGCCAGCAAAGATACCCCTTCCTCAAACTTTAATACCAACCTTGGTTAAGTGCCAGATTTACCTCTGAGGCTTGTTCGAGGTTTTAGCAAACCCATCTTGCTCACAGTTAACAGGCCTTTCTGCCCCTATTGTCTCATATAGAGATGATGCATTTTTTTCTCTTATCTCTAATCCATGGTGCAAATCATTCTTTCACATTCTGCACTGATACTGAAATGATTTTCCCCTACAGTTTTCTTAAACCCTGAATTAATCAACCTCAACAAAGCATTTCAGTGGAGAGAGCCAGCCATTATAAACAGACTGAAGATCTAGCTGAAAAACTACACTGTAGCAACAACAGAGCATGGGGGGAGAACTGTAAGAAATGAAATACTTAAGTTATTTATAACCCAAAGCCAGCTGGCTGCCCTGGAGGTTATTTGAACCAACTCAACACTTGAGGGTGAAAGGAGCAATGTTTTGTTAGCCCTGAAGAGCCAGTGTGCTTGATAAATAATTTAAATACGGAGATGTTGATCTGCATCTGGTCCATCTTGACCTGGAAGAACTCTACTGAAATCTGCACCATTATAATGAAACTCTGTGATTCAAGTGAATCAGAAATGTCTCTTTTTCTTGCAAAGCAGATGAGCCAGTCCTCGTTTGTGTCACACTGGATGACTGCCATGATCAAAATAAAGTAAGATAACCTCATGCCAGACAACCATTTACATTCAGAGCAGGGCTGCATGCCTGCTTAATGGGCACAAGCTTGTGTATGGGGCTCAATGCAGCAACTCCTACGTGAAGCCCGGTGGTGGAAGTGGCGTATAAGAAGGTCCATTAAAAATGGTGCATTTAAGCAAAAAGCCACTATACATCTGGATAATGAAGGAAAAATCTGGAAACTTAATGAAGATACTGGATCCACAACCAGGATTCAGCTCTGTAGGTAGCTATGAAGAAACTTGCTTCAATGTAATGAGTATCAGCCCTACAGTCTTGTGGGGGAATGCACAAAGTGGTTTTCACCTTCCTCCTCTTTTGTCACAACCCTCAAGATTTTGGGTGCTTTACTGAGGGGTTTGGAAATGCTGGAGTTGACAGCACTGCAGATGGATGGCCACTGGGGTAGAGATGCCAGGGATGGAGGAAAACAACTCCTCCAAAGGCACTGGGAGCCTGAACCTCTTCCCTGGGGAACTCAAGGGGCTCTGTATGAGAAGCCTGACAGCCCTTCATTAATTCCTTGCCTTCCTCAGCACTTTATTTAAACAAACCCAAAATGTTCTGATAAAGCACTTTACGGCGAGCAGACAGCGCTGTGCATGCCCAGGCACTGGCAGGCTGCTCCAGAGAGAAATAACTCTCTTAAAATGTGCACTGTGCTAATTACCTTGGCAAAGGTACAAGAGCACAAGTTAGGGCTGCTGTGATTTATACACGCTCGTGGCAGCAAAAGGTAGGCGCAAACCACTGAGCAGCATAGAGCTGCAGGGCTATAACCCTGCTGGAGGGGAGCAGAGAGACATGAACCCCTGCAAAAGCCTCAGCCTCTCCAGAGCCTTTCAATCCTTCTCCTGCAGGCATCCAGCTCTTCCCCTGCTCCTCTGTATGGCCTGAGTATCTACATGTCTGGGGTATCTGAGTTTATTGCAGGTGTGTTTGCCGGGAAGGCTGATACATGAGGAAAGTTAGCGTCATGCAGGAAGGTATCCATACTGCTGGGAGCTGGGCACAGGGCAGAAAACAGCCTCTTTGAGCACAGCTTTTCCCTTGCTAGGGAGAGCTTGAGACGTGTTAGTTGCTATTACAGGTCATGGGCAGGGATATCCTTCCAAACCAGCCCCTGCCTGAGAGCACAGTGGTCCTAGCTTGGTCATGATGGGGTTGAACGTCCTGCATATGGGGACCCAAGGATGTTCCTCCAGGAGGCAAATCTCTGAGGACTTACACCAGAAAGCAAGTGAGAAGGGCGCAAGCTCCCTAGGACAGAGGAGGTGGCATGCAGAAGGGGAACACCAGGGCATCCTGGCATAGGGAGAGGTTGAGAGCCAAAAAATAGGCATTTTTTCTGTCTTTTCCCTTAAAACCAGAGTTCAGGGAGAGACTGAAATTTTAATGTTACTTACTTTAATGTTCTAATGTTACTGGCTTTGCAGTAAGGGATGGGAAAGCCCCAGTAAACTACCCTATCATGCAATTTATGGCTGGAGGAAATCTTGTTGGACTTCCAGCAACTGGGCCACGTTCCAAAGTCCATAATAAGCTTTTATTTAATTCTTACAGAATCAAAATCCCACCGACTTCATTTCCATCTGCTGGGACATTTCTGTGTGAAAAAAATGACCTCACTATCAGAGGTTCTGCTGCTTTTCTTCAGATATGCAGAAAGACAAAAATAACCCCTCTGTCTTCAGTGTGAAAGAATCCTGCGTTGTCCTGGGGGAGCTTCAGCAGCTCTTGGTTGTCATCATTTTCTCGCAGTTCCTCCAAGTAAAAGCTTTTCGGGATTATTTAGCAACCTTATCAAATCAGCAACAGATTTTCCTTTAACCTCCTATTCCCAGTCCTGCCTTAAAAAGAATGGGATTCAGATAAGAAAAACAGAGGTGGATGTACAAAAGAAAGATATTGCCAGGAGTCATTTCTAGAAGCCATCAATGAGATTGCAAGAGGAATACCAGAAACAGCTTCTCCTCATCAGGCAGAGAAAGAAATACCCTGCAAGCTCTCATTACATATTGGGGGTGATACTAGAGGCTATATCACCCATTTACATGGTCAGTGTACAGCCTGTAATACAAGAGACGTTGGGGTTAATTTTACAAACAATTTTACAGTGATTAAAGAACTCAGTAAGTGCTTAAAAACCTCAGATGTGTGGTGTGGGAAGTCATCCAAGTGCTATTTATAGGGATAAACACATGTATTTCTTCTTATTTTAGAAACAGACCCTCATACTGGCTGACACTGGTGCCCTTATGAAGCTGTGGACAAGGACATATTAGCATGGGGAATATAAAATAAACTAAGAAGCAAGTGATGAGGAGCAATCATTTGGGGTTGTCTTTCCAGCATCTGAGTTATCCTAAGCAATCCAACATTCCCATGTACATTTTACCACCAATAATTCTCCTTCCAGTACCAAACAAGTAAGTTATTCCTCACCTCCCTGCTTAGGCTTGTGTGTGATGCCGAGCAGGCAAGATGACTGATCAGCTTGCTCCAAAGTACGACTGCAGGATGATGGTGAAAACTTCTGGCATAATACTCTTTGCACTGCCCTTGATTAATCCTTCCATACAAACACCACTGATGATTCATGCACATCTACTTGAAAATCAAAAGCAACTTGGTCACAAAGTGTGAAACTATGATCCAAGATTTATCTCCAGATAGTCATGATTCATAAATAACAAACCAGCGACTCTCTGGTCCTACCAGTGAGCAAAATCAGGGGAAAACACAGGGGAAAATGTGTTCAGCGTAGTACAGAAGAGACAGGAAATGCTGACAATGAATAACCAGGGACTGAGGAAGAACATTTTGCATAATGTTCCACATTATAGAATCTTAGAATCACAGACTGGTTTGGGTTGGAAAGGACCTTAAGATCATCCAGTTCCAACCCCCCTGCCATGGGCAGGGACACCTCACACTAAACTATGTCACCCAAGGCTCTGTCCTACTTGGCCTTGAGCACCACCAGGGATGGAACATTCACAGCTTCCCTGGGCAACCCATTCCAGTGCCTCACCACCCTCACAGTAAAGAATTTCTTCCTTATATCCAATCTAAATTTCCCCTGTTTAAGTTTTAACCCGTTACCCCTTGTCCTATCACTACAGTCCCTAATGAAGAGTCCCTCTCCAGCATCCTTACAAGGCCCCCTTCAGGGTGCTCTGAGGTCTCCACGCAGCCTTCTCCAGGCTGAACAGCGCAAACTTCCTCAGCCTG